ATTGGATAAAAGCTTTTCCTACATTGACTGCAAGACATTAATTCTTAGGGGGTTTTTTTTGCCAGTACTTTTGATATTTTGTGAGCTGAACTTGTGCAACAAAAGAATTTAAAGACGTTCTCTTCAGGTCTCATAACAAATTGTTAAGAATGTGTTCATTTATTTATACTAAACAGCCAGTCTTACTTTTTCTTTGAGCATACGTGCTGGTCTGTAGTATGACCATCCTAGAATAACTTTTCCCTCTTGTTTAACAAGGAAGAAGTGCTGGTTTAATACTGTATTTTTACAGTATTATTATTTTATCACTTTTATTGAAGACTGACGTTTTAAGAAAATTAAACTAATGCAGATTCCTTCCATAATTTAATAGTCAATGGCTCCAAATATAAAATTAGAATCCAATAAATTCTGAGCATTGGGTCTGTCAAGGCACGAGTTCTGGGACAATGGTTCCTGTTATAGGGTTCTGGCCAGAGCACTGTAATTTCCATGGTCTCACTTCTCTTCTAAATCTTTCGAAACTGGAGTAATTTTTCTTGTGCACCTTAACTTTCTTTTTTTTTCTTTCTGGGAAGATGCATAGTGGTACTGAATGAGAATACTATTCTAACTGATAAGTAGACACTGAATAACTGTATTTAAACAGAGTTTTATGTCCTTCATATGCCTTTGTTTCAAATGCAAATTAGATAAAAGCTTGCTTTCTCTGAGTTAAATATATGCTGTGTTACTGAAATATAACATTTAATAATCAAATGGCAGACTTTAATATCTCTTGATCACCAGTACTTCTGCTCTGTCAGTGAGTAGGGAAGGAAGCAAGAAAAATTAAAGAAGATAAAAGAAATAGGAAGAAAGCAAAGGAGAGTGGTAAAATCATTCTATTCTTTAGGGTTTGTATCTGTGCAAGCCATTATATGATATGAGAATATGGGTACAGAGGCAGGGCTTCAACGGCCTAACAAACTTGTTCTACCATGGAGGGACAGTCATTCCATTTTCTGTTTCATACAGCCAACTGTACTGAGTGATAGCCATGTGTTTCACTTGAATGCCTCAGAATTCAGATATCCCAAGGCAGACTAGACCGTCCTGCTCTGGACATTTAGAGCATTTGGAGTTTTGGTTTTGTTTTTAGTAAAGACCAGATGATGTACAAGGAAATGTTATGACCAGAGAACATGAAATGTGGTTCTCTGTTGCTTGTCAGTGCTGTTGACGTCTGTTGTAGACGTGTATGGAACAGAATTGTAAATACACTATTCTGCCTGTCACAGAGTGCTTGCTGATGGAGCTGTGAGTAGGTGCACAATGAATCATATCCTAAAATAAAAATCCCAGTGCACAAAATAGCACCTATTAAAAAGTGCTTTGCTCCACCCTCCTGTCCAGAATATTTGTGAGTGTGAAAAATGCATGTATTTTATGATTGGCTTTTTGCAAATATTAAAATGAATATTATATGTGTTGTGTTAGAAGGTAATGCTGTATTAAATCTCTTAAGTTCTGTGTTGAATATAGTTTTAAAAATTCTTAAAATAGAAACTATGCTATGTAGGATACTTTTTTTAAAGAAAGGACTCTCAGCGAGATAGCAGCCACAGGACACCTAAATCTTTCAGAGAATTTATTGCCCTCTTATGAGAAGAAACGAACTTCTTCCCACCTCAAAGGCACTGTTAGGATTCAGAGGAAGAAGTTGACGATGACCAGACAGAATCCTGTATTTGAATGGAATTTATGCATCATGTATGAAGTGTATGAATATGCAACAGGCTATTGCTTTTAAGGGTTAATCCTCTGTTAAGGGGTGTCCTTTTTCGGGCTCATGCTGCCCAGAAGAAGGTACCCAGACGTCCATAACTCTTTGTATTTGTTGTCTCATATTGTCCTAATTCAAATTGTCCAATTATTACTCTAATTGTATTACTATTTTTATAACCATTTTATTACTATTAAACTTTTAAAATTTGAAAAAACAAGTGATTGGCATTTTTCACAGTGAGTTTCATATGAACCAAAGTATATGTTTCTGTATGCTTTGGTAAGTATACCAAAGAAAAAACATTTCTGGTTTCCTTCCTGAGAAAAAGCTAACAATTAACTTCCTCAAGCTAACAGTATTTGCACTTCATGCCTGGGAGACTACTTGAATTATACCAACAACTCAACAGGACAAAATCATTACAAATCTGCTTGGACATTTAGTGTTTGGTGGGGTTTTTCCTCCTTGATACTTAGGTAACTTTTTCTGCTTTTAAGGTCGTGCTATAGCAAGGTTACTCCATTGTGTCTTTCAGTCTGCAAAAGCTGTAGACTCCAAATTAATCTTTTCAGCTGGCTCTTTGCAAGGGTCTATAAATGTTAGCTTTCTTGTTTGCTCTTAAAAGCTAAATTTATCCCTACTTACCTATATTCCAGGACAGCTGTCAGGCTCATCTTTGCACATAGTACAGTGGTGAGCACAGAGTACACATGCAGCTTTTCACTTGTTGCTTCACTACATAATCTCTTTAAAGGTTCATGCAGAATTATACTCACAGAAATGAAATCTTTTTTAATCTGAGTGTGTGAAGATGCAATCCAAGTAGAAGATACCATTTAACACATCCTACCCCAGAAAAACCATTATCTAGCCCTCTGTGACAGTTTGAAACAGTTCTGTATAAATTAATTTTGTGTCTATGTGAATTTGAAAAGAGATGGACTAGAGCTGGTGAACAATTAGCAAAAAAGATTCTTCTTCTGGACCCACTGAGTGTACTGGGGAGGAAAGGTGACAGAACACATCAAAAATGGGGTAGAGGAAAACTGTGCGGCAGCAAGGAACAGAAACCTAACAGCTGAAGCAGGGATTGAAGAACTCTTGGGGTGATCAGGCAATAGACCCACAGCCAGCTGTTCATGCTCAGAGATGAAAAAACTTCCTAGAAACCAGACCTGCCATGCATTGACACACAGGGCAGTTGGATACTTACAAGTTCTTTAATTTTTGTATTGTCTTGCATACTACTTTTCAGATTTTTCTCTTTTAGTTTATTGTTGTTCATTCTCTAATAAAACATAGATATTCCACGTTTCAAAGCTGTTTTGAGCCTTCTTATAGATATCATGTAATGGAATAGTCTAAGCAGATCTCCCTTAAAGCCTTATATTTTTGGGTTGTATATTTATATTTTAAAAGGTTCCTTTTGGATTATTTTCCATTTTGGAACTCCTTAAAACAATTGCATTTTTGTAGATATAATTGATGTAAGAGTAATTTTCAAGTGTTTCTCTTTGTTTATATGGGAAAAATATAAGGCTCTCTTAGCTCACTCTTATGCTCAGGTTTAGAAGATTACATTCCATTTTAAACATTCACCATAGCCCTGTCCTTAGGAGGAGGCAAGGTCTAAATCTATCAGTAAATGAACAGCTGTCTTATCCCTTAAAAATTTATAAAGCGCATTAAACATAGAAAATTCAAAAGGCTTTGGAGGGAAACACTAGAAAAATTCTTTCCAACACTTCTTCCTTGGTATTACAGTGGAGTCTCTAACGTAGTGGGAAGTCAGGAGAACAGGAAAACATTGTTTTTGAAAAGGTGCTTTTTCTGTGGCATCAGTATTCAAGCTCATCAGTAACTTAAATGCCCAAGAACAAGAATAGAGAATACTTGGGCATTTCTCCTCTGTTATTGGTAGTCCAGAGATTTCTGGAAAGTAATTACTTTTAAATATTTTCTGGCCATTATTACAGTTATCCCCCACTTTACTTGTTTTAGAATTTGGTTAATTTTTGGTTTTACATTCATACTTTTTTCCCCAAGGTTTCTGCCATATTATCTTTAAATTTGCTTTTGCTATACTACTTGACCTTTCTGAACCTTTACCAAAGTATCTTTTAATATTTCATATCTCAAAACTCCTGTTTCATAGAATCTTTTAGGTTGAAAAAGATCTCTGCTATCATCTGGAGTTACACATCTGTACAACCTAATTTTAGTTATTTTTAGTGTTTTCCACATAATCACAGTATTTCAGATAAATTCCATTTCCTATACCAGCTAGAATAGTCTTGTTTCCTGAATACCCTTTGCTTACCAAATCCTTATCACCACTTAAATACCCTTTGCTTTTCACTGCTTATCACATTCTTTAAACAGCTCACAGACTTGAAAAATATCTGACAGGACCAAATGTCTTCTATGTCCTTTCTAGTTGGATGAATTACTTAAACTGATACCTGATAGTGTCTTCTCCAGCACTGTGTTGTTTTGTACTTTGAGAAATAAGCAGATGTTCTTGAAATCTTACAGGCATATATCAAACATTTGTTACAAACAAAAAAAAAAAAACAAACCAAAAAAAAAGAGGGAAAAAACGTAGAATTAGTTAAAGTAGCAGAATATTGAAACCATCATTTCTGTTGGGTTTTTTTCCTGAGATGAGTTTGCAAGGGCTTATAGTTAGTCAGGTGCTGCTTTGGGTGGACTCTGAAATGTGGAAGATAAATATGTTAGTTACCTTTCCAGGACTAAGTCATCAGCCATTGACTTTCAAAATTGGATTGAAAAGGAAGTTTTCAGTTTTGGGGTGAGGAATAGGATATCAGCATTCTTCAACTGTGCAGAAAATTAGGGGGGAGGGGGAGAAAGATTTGCATTTGTACAAATGCAATGTAACCCCAGAACTGAATTTGTTGTTCATTATACTAATGGATTCCAATCTTACAATTGCAACAAAACTATTTTTTATTATTTTGCACATAGATTTTTGAATAATGTTTATTTTGCATTTCCTCTGCTGTCATGAACATTTGCAGTCCAAACAGCTCTTGGGTGTGCAGTGTTTCATTTGTTTGTGTCACATTGTAAGCTGAGTGAATTTTGGCCTATCACTTGAAAGATTTTGTCAGTTGAAGTAGCGAGGAGGGCAGCTCATGAATATATCTTATTTTTTCTCCAAACTAAAGCAAAATTTTGCTTTCTCTTTCCCTTCTGTGCATTTAAATAGGAGGACAGCTGCCTTCAGATGGTACAGAACTCACTGACAGTTGCTCTTGCTTCAGTCCTACTTCATGAGAACTTCAGAAGTTACTAACTGAGGTATTTATTTGTTCTTTTCATTTTTTCAAGTTTTAACTCTGCAGAAATTAGTTATGTGGAAGAGCAGGACAAAGGAGACATCTAGACTAGTGAAGAGAAATTGTATATGGAAAATAGCACAAAGTTCTGTCATAAAGAGAGCTACTAGGCAATAGGATCTAATCTTTCAGTAGCTAGGTACTATGTTAGTCAATCTTTTTTATATGTTTAGAAATCAACTAATTACAAATATGTCAAAAGAAAGCATGCTATAAATGCAGTTAAAAGCATTGGGGTTTTGAGGGTCATGTACCCAGTTTGATCTGATCCTTTGATTTTCTCCAAGAATGGGCAAAAGATTTTGCAGAAAATCCCTAGACATGAATACCCAATTACGTAAATAATGACTAAATAATGAACCTTTCAAAACTCTCCCATCATTTATAGGTTTCTTCCTCTACTACTTAAAAGGAATTTCAATTAAAGAAAAGCTTTGGTATTAACACAACACGCTTTCCTCACACTTTCTTTCATACAACCCTGAGATTAAATACAAAATCTGTTTTAAAAATATTGATAAATATTTTTATTGGAAATATTTCTCATTTTTGGCAGATACCAATGAATTAATTTCTTTGCAGAGAAGAGAACACCATTTGTATATGTAAACAGAGTCTGATAAAGGATTTATGGCCACAGAACTCATGAAGGGAAAAAACGTTTCTTGTAAGCCTGTGATCAGCTGGATCTGTGTCAGTCCTAAATTTATGATCTGCAGCTGTTAAATGTGTGATAGGAGCTTTGTCTTCTAAAGCGTGATGACAGTGTGAGCACAAGGCTGAGAAAAAGAAAACATAGTGCTTTGAGAAATGAGGCTGTCGGAACGTGGGTGAGGATTGCAATGCTTCACATAGCACAAACCTTTTATTCTGTAAATCTTACATATGTATATTTTAATGCTTTTTAAATTGTGGAAAGCTACTGGCACAGATTCTAACATATCTGAGGTTGAACAAGAAGTCTGCTGGTCAATGTTTGTGTAGGTAGTGTAATGTAAGCAGTGCCAGTCTGGAATTCTTTTTCTGCATTTGAGAGCTCAAAGCTTTAATGATACTGCAAAAAAAAAAGAAAAAAGGATGTCTTATAACTCCTATAATGTCTGAAATCTGAAAATATGTAATATAAGGACTTTTTTTTATATAGCTCCTAGTATTTATGCATGTGTCTATGCATATATATGCATCTGTGTTTTAGATACCAAGATAGGCTTAACTTCTTGGAAAGATTGGTAATTGTTAGTATGGTTCTTGTATAAAAGTTATATGTTCTATTATAGCTATATTACAATACCTGTATTTCCTTTTATAAAGAGACTTTTTATATGCCAGACAGTATATATTATAGCTAGAATAATGTCAACCTTAAAATGAAAAGTTTTCAGAAAATGAACTCTTAAAATTCAGTTGGGATGTTACATACAGTTTCACAAAAGAAAGCAGAAGTCTTTTTTGTTTCTAATTTTGCATTGAGTGCTGTTAGCAGCCAGCTCTGATAATGGTTTTTACGTGCAGGTTCTATGGAGTGCTCACATTCTCAGATTTTAATAAAGAAGTTGGTGTTACGTGACAGGTTGAGCGATTTCACTGCACATTATGGATTGGTTATGTCTTACCATAAGTTCATTTCTGGAGTCAGTACACAACTGTTTTAGCAGGAGAATTAACCGCTTATGTCACAGATTATAATTAGCTGTGTCTGTATGCCAGAGCAACAGGATGGAATGCAAAACGTAGCCAAACATGTGAACGAATTTTCTTCCAGTGATATTTGGCCAGACCTAAAATATCTTCCACTCCAGATCTGAAAGTAGTGGAAAAGTTAGACAATTCTCTCTTGGAAAGAGACCGGTTGTAGTTTTTTCACAAGTCCACATTGTTTCAAATCTCCAAGGTAAGTAACAATTTTTAAAAATCATTTTTATATCTGTATTAAAACATTAGAATGTTAAAAAGGAGGGTTTTTTGTTGGTTCTTTACTTGTTACATGGTTGTAGTGAGCTTCTCCCCTGTCTACATTTCTGTGGAACATTTCAGACTGATTTTGTACTTACTTAAGGATCATTTTGATGCTTATGTGATTTATTTTAGGGCCTAAATTATGTGTTCATTTTTAACTATTATTATTATTTTTGATTCAGATAGTTTATTTATATTTGTTTTTGCAATTAAAAGTTACATAGTTTAAACCTGCACTTCTGTAATACTAAGAAGCTAAATTAGAAATTTTAAGTTTAGTAACTTTTAAATCTTTTACAGTATCATGTTACTGTACTTACATAAATATCTGATTTGCAGTAGTAAACCTCTGATGCTTGTAGCTGTAGATTTCTCTCAGTTTATTTATCAAATACCAAAAGTTAAATTTAGTCAAGAATGGATCCATGGTTTTGCTGAACACTTCTTTTTGGCTTGATTGTGTGATAAAAACCTCCCACCTGAAAAATTGTTACCAAAATTATTTCTAACTTCTGTGAACCATACTTAAATTAATATAGGGCATATAATTATCTGTGTACAGAACTTGTTTTGCACGTTTGTAATCTCTTTAAATTCAAATACATTTTCTAGTGGATAATTTCTCTTACTGAAAGAAAATTACCAACTAGTTATCAGTGAATTACTGACTCATTATCAAATGATTTATTGGATGATACTTGGTGTCTTGCCACCAATAGTTGCTTGCACTGCATACTTAATCATGAATCTGATTGAGCACAGAAGTTCCTAAAACAGGATATTGCCCAAGTGTGGGAATGTGATTTTAGTGCATCAACACCAGTCAGCTAGGCTCCTTTTACTGAGATATGGGTGTTTTTACTGAATCTGTCTAAAATCTCCTCTTACTTGAGGAGGACGTGACTCATGTCCTAGAAGTGTCTGTCTTATCTCCATTTTCTGTGGAGGGGGCCTAGGTAAGTGTGACTGATGTTGTCTGTGTTTGGAGTGATTAATTTTGGTCTGCACAGCCACTTCCAAGTGAGTAGTCCATTTGAGTGAACTATAGGAACTTTGTACCATAAAGTTCTGGAACTTTGCCATGAGTTATGATTTTGGAAGTTTTGTTTGTGATAGTCACAAATGATGCCACTTTGGCTGAGATGGATTTCTGATTATCTTCTAAACAAATGTTCTGTTAGATACACCCCTCCTTTCTACCATGTAATGAAGAAAAAATGCTCCTAGAATACCACCAAAGGATAACAACAAGTGCATGGGCTTAAATTAAAAATAAAAGAGTCTAAATTAAGCCCAGCATTAGAGGGAGCCACTTAAAATCTCTTTTCCAAACCTTCATGCTTTTGCTAACAGCATGCAGCTCTTTCCTGGTTGAAAACTCAGTGGTTTAAAGCATGTTATATTTTGAGTTTTATTCATAATCATAAGGCAGATAAAGTTATATGTACAAAGAGCTTCTTGCTTGAATAGCCTCATGAGATTTTTTTTCCTTCCCGTGGAAAGTAATGCCTTGTACATGAAATACAAATCCCAGGTCCTAACCTCTTACTGTTTTTAATTATTTTCATGACTTGGAATTAAGTAAGCTGGATTTCCTGTGGACTTATTTCTCAGAGTTGATTGTCTTACATGTTTAACAAGCAGTGACTGAAGGTTTTTTGTAACAGAGACATTTACAAGCTCTTTTTCTCACATCCGTTTTCTGATATTTTATAAGGTCTTCATGCCCATTGCAGTCCCTCAGTTAAGACATAAATGGGGGTTCTTATTTTCTCTGTTATTTCATTTTCAGACAGTTTGCAGGAATGTAGTATTTGAGGCATCTGCTTGTCTGTTGAATTTTCAATTGAAATTGGCCAAGAAACTCAAAAGCTATTGAAGGAGGTAGGGAAAATGAATGGGAGATGGATGGTTTAGACATTGACATAGGGTTTGGTTGCTTTTTTATTTATTAAACCAGGCTAAAAGAATCATGGCAGTTTGGATAACAGGTTAATTCAATATCCTGGTCAAATTTGCAGCTTGGGTAATACTATTCTCACTATTTAATTCATCTTAGCTTTGGCTACCTGGGCCAGTCTTCTCATTAAACCTTTCTGTATATCTGCCAAAAGCTGTTAAACAGTTGCTGCATTTCATGCCATGGTTGGTTATGTTTCTGTGGTGGATGAAGTCTGTCTAAGACTGTGAAGAGAAATATAAACTAAAATACATAAATATTTTTTTTAATGGAGTGTGGTATGTACTGAAGTGTTAGATAGTGCTGGTGGCAGCCATAAAACACATGTTTTTCAATATGTTCCTTTGTGGATATGTATATCCTGAAGGTTGCCTGTAAGAATCAGGTATATATGTATTTTCAATAAAGGGATGTAGGGATCCTTGTAGTAATGACTGTTAAAACTCCTCAGTTCCTCCCCGTTTATTTGCTGTGCTGTCAGTGCTCTGAGGAACAGAAATTTTAGTACCTTTGCTTCACATTACCTTTTCCCAGTATTCCAAGTGCCAGATACTAAATTTTATACAGACTTTTTGCATCCTTGCTTTATTAGTTGTGGATACTAGTTGCTTTCAGAAAAGGCTGACTGTGGAGTACAACAGCCTGTTTCATGTTAAAGTTTCACATAGGTCCTACCTTGAATTTGCAAGCTGTTAGACCTTTCTGAGAGAAGCGTGCAGGCTCCTGATGGAAGTAAGTGTGTCTGCATAGTTCCACTGCACCCCGTTTCCTCAGTTTTGAGGAAAAGGATTTTAAGTGAGAGGCAGTAATAATTAAATAAAAACCATGTTCTGGTGACTCCAGACTGCTGAAAACAGAATAAAATTGAAGAGTTTCTTAAAAAATAAATGCTCTGAAATGAAGCTGAGTCAGTAGAGCAAAGCTGTGGTAATGAACCCTAACCACAGATCAGGCTATATTAGCAATGCTTTAGATATCAAGCTCCTTCCAGAGGCCTCTTCCAGTCCAGCTTTGAACTGGAATAGATAATCTCCAGAGGTCCACTGCAGCCCAGTTTTTTCTAGGATTCTCGGAATTTGTTCAGATTTTCATGACTATTCACTCTTTTGTTATTATTAATTACCTACTGGTTTTGTTTAGTCACCTGGCTGTATTACTAGCTGGTCCAATCGGCAGTGCTTCAGAGTTCATGGAAGAGGGCATTTAATTTTGATTTAAACAATTTAATAAATATGTGAGATTGGTAGCTAGTGGTATTCTCAAGCCACGTAAAGTTGCTGTATGTCAATGAGAATTAACTGTAATATTTGACTTTTACTTGGAAATACAAGGAAGGAAATAGATGGATTCTGAACTTAAAGCCAAAAAACTAACAGTGAGTATTACTTTAATATAAGCATTCCCTATGAGATGAAAAGCCATGGGAGGATATTTGTACGCCTGGCAGAAAAGGTTGCTGTTATTGATTTCCTGAGTGAAAGTTTTCACTGTAGGGATAATAAAATGATAAGACAGATTTCAGCATGTGTAGGAAGAAGAGGTTGATTTGAGTTTGTCCTGAGTGCTAAACAAGAGAGTGAACATGGTGAACAATCCCAAAAGCCAGCACAGTTGAGGCTGAGAAGGCAGTATCAGGTTTGTTCCCTCCACATTCACCTGACAGTGTCCTGATGCACATTGTGCCTTTGCAGTATACCTCAAGACTTCCAGCATATATTCTGGTGCTACATAAAGTTGTATTTGAGGGCTGAAGTGTGGTCCAAGTTTACCCAGAGAGTACTCAGAGCCAAGTTTATGTAGTATGGATGGGGGTGGCATAGAATTTTATGGAGTGGAGCCAAAACCTTTGTAGGGTGGGCAGCATGACCAAGAAAAGACCTGATAGTCCTGTGATGCCCATGCTACTTTTCAGGCTATTTTTCTAGTCTCAAATGCTCAAACAGACCTGATGTAGCCTGTACACCAAAAAACTTGCCTTATTTTCAGCCCTTCTGTTTAGTATAAGAAAAGAATCTTGTTTTCTGGCCCTAAAACTTTTCTTCCCTGTAACATTCTACTTCTAGTTTCGTGCTGTTATGGTAGGTATTTCCCACTTAATGAGAATACTGATGACATCTGCTGAAATCTGTTATCTTGCTTAAACATGGAACTGCATTACAAAATAGTGTATTTCATTTTGAATTATTTCATGAGTTATTTGATAATTGTGTTCAATGCATGTGTGAAGACAGTGCTTCCAGAAACAGAAATGCAGTTCTTATATGCACAAAGTTGTGTAAGGCTATTAATGTATTGTCATAACAGAGAAAAAAGCATTTCTAAGCTATATTTGATAAAACCACTGTATTTATTTGAGTACCCTCCATTCTTTCTGAATTGAATATTTTGTTGAAATTCTGTTAGTAACAATTTTCACAATCTGTGAGAGTACTTTTTAAATATATATTCTAATTTTATTGATTTTGCTTTTAGTTAAACATCTGTTGAACTGATAGTATTGTGATTCACACTTGGTGATTTGTTTTAACTGATTTTACTCACGTTTATGGTAGAAAAAGCTGTATCCTTTTAGTCATATTGAAAACATCTAAAATACTATTTAAATTGAGAGCATTAATATGACTGTCTTCCTATATCAGAAATCATAAGGCACCTAATAACAAATGGCTTTAACTCAAGAAAAATTCAAAGCTAGCATTCAAAAAATTATGTAGAAATAAGCTTTGATTTAGGATTGTTTGGTAAGCAAAGTGTATAAATGGCTAGAATGCAAAATAAGGTAAAGGCAGCAGAAAGCAAAATTAACCTATATTCTTTTACATTACCAAAAAATTCCATCTTTTGGTACCTTTTTCTTCTTTTCTTTTTTTACTTTCTTCAGCATCCCTAGGTACTTCCTTGTTCTCCCCATATTTTACAGTCTCCACTTATACATCTTGTGTTTGTTTCCTGACTATACTCACTACTTAACCTTT